ACCGGACATGTGTGCCCCGTGTCCGCCGCATGCGGAGGGGCCGTGCGGCCGCTCCTGACCCGGGGTGGGGGGGGGCTGCGTCTACGAGAGCGCGTGCACCTTTTTCTCCTTTACTTAGTAATTTCATGTACTTGAAAATCACTTCGTAAAGCAGTTCGCACAGGCTCTTCGTCATATCATTTGAAATCCGGTTTCTTTTCCTCCAAATCACAGACTTCAGGTAGCTTCCTTTCTGAAGAAAAATATTCGCTCTGTGGAGAAATCAGTCACTGCCAGGATCCTTTCATTTCTGTACTATTTTGTATAATTGAATTTGTTGACTTCTCTCACACCAGCAAGTATTTTACAGGTGCCTTGGATTAAAACAAAATTGATTTTAAATTTTTAGTGCAACTCATTGTGCTTACGATGCCACTTTTAAAAAGAAATCCAATTACACCGTGGCTAGTGCTTTTATTTAACGTATGTACTTGTGCTCCGATTGTTCAAATGTCTTATTCAGCTTGAAACTTCCTGTGAAGCCTCAGACAGTAAACGATGTTTTGGAGGTATTCAAGGAGGTATTCATCAGCGCCTCTCAGAGTGTGGTCCGTGGACCATCTGGGTCACGGTGTGCTTGTGCAGGATGCAGATTCCGGGGCTCCGTTCTAAGGCACCTGCATCAGAAATCAGGGGCGGGGCTTCAGGATGTCGTGTTCCACAAGCACCTCAGCTGATTCTGAGCGCACTCATGTCTGAGAACCACCGGGATGAGGAATGCAAAAAAAGAAGTCTTTCGTTCTTTTGGTTTAAAGCTGAGCTGAGAGCATAATAGAACGTTGTCATCATCAATGACATTAGCAAACGTGCACTGATTCTGTTATAATTAACAAGTAAGGTCCTTTTGACTAAAACTCTTGGTTTATCAATAGCCACACGCCAAACCCAGGTTGTTGCCTGTAGCTCTCGGCACTTCGGTTGATGGCTTTTAAACTTCCAGAGTCACCAGATCATGGTCAAGCCGTGAAAACTCCCATCTCAGAGTCCGCCTGCTAAAGCCTTTTGCTTTCCTGATTGCAAATTTCGTGGCATTTTATCTCAGACAATTGTCCTTTTTGGTAACTTGGGGAAAACAGAAATTACTTGAACAAGGGGTTGCCTGACCCGATGCATTGCAGAGATAACGATCTTTGTAAAGAATTTCAATAGCAGTTGTGAATATTAAGATGTGATTATCTTTTCCTGTCCATGTGCCTATTGCAGGGAGATAGTGAACAAACGACTATATGGGGGGGTTTTTTATTTATAAGATCTAATGTAAAATCACCACTTGCAACTTTTTAGACCTGTATGTTTGCCTGTTTAATATATTTCTTTTAAAGTTTAAAAGGGTTTTCTATCCACTGGTAATTTCGATTGGATAACATTTTGTCAAGTGTTTTTTTTCTGATTGTTATTTGATGCTAGCTGAAATTCGAGAGATGACATTGACCTTATTCAAATAAAGAAATATTTTAGTAAATTTACTTTTCTCCTTCCTTGATCTCGGGTAATAAGGAGCTACTTCTCTTCCAAGTAGGCCCTGGTTGTGATCGTGTTTATCTGTTGCTCTGTGCCGTACCCTAGGCGGCCTCCCTCATGCAGAATCAACGCACGGAAGCGTAAAAAGAGAAGTAGAAATGAAAATGGGTGCAGCTTACCCTTGCTGGTAATGAAAAACACAAACTAATTAAAACAGTGCATTTGATGCTTTCACCTTTAATAACCAAATACTGGTAAAAGTGTAGTTAAGCTGGAACTCTTAATCGTTACTAATGGCAGTTTTAAAAAGTACTTTAATCTCCTTTGGCAAGCACCATTTATTTAGCCAAGTAATTCCAATTTTGAGAGCCCGTGTAGTATTAAAAGGAAAGAACAGGGCTTTGGTGTCAGACAGAATTGGGTTTATTTTTAAAAAAAATTTTTTTTTTTTAACATTTATTTTATTTTGGAGACAGAGAGAGACAGAGCATGAACGGGGGAGGGTCAGAGAGAGGGAGACACAGAATCTGAAACAGGCTCCAGGCTCTGAGCTGTCAGCACAGAGCCTGACGCGGGGCTCGAACTCACATACCTGGAGATCGTGACCTGAGCCGAAGTCGGACGCTTAACCGACTGAGCCACCCAGGTGCCCCCAGAACTGGGTTTAAATCTTGGCTCTGCCGCTTACGAAGCATGACCTTCACTTTCTTTATACTTGGCTCCCCGGGTTGGGAGCGTTGTAAAAGAGTCTTCTGAAGTGGTCTCAGAAAATGGTAGACCCTCTTCTGCTAGAACACGCAGAAATACTGGATAGAATTAACTAAGAGATGTAAATCGATTCGATGGGTTTGAAAGAAATCGGGGGAGACGACAGTCACGCCCGATCGGTATGCCTGCTGGGAGGGGGTGGTCGAGAGCAGGCTATGCACAGATAGACCCTGGGCGCCAGTTAGAGGCTGAGGAGTTCGCTCGGGGCGTTGGGGAGAGTCCTTGCCCGCCTTGCCATCGTAAAGATTTGGGATTTTATTCAGGTGTGATGAGAGATCTGTAGGTCTACACCCGGCTGTCCCATGTGACAAATCTTGGGATGTTTCTGGAGGAATCAAAAGATTTGACACAGCAGCGAAGAGTTTCCCGGATGTCCAAGTCGAAGGGCCAGTGTACCAAACTGAGGAATAAAAGGATTTTAAAGACATCCCATTTTCTCGGTGGAATTCTCGACCGGGGAGACAATGAGAGATTTGATTTGGTAAAACGCAATACCAGGGCGTGAGTCCCGAATAGTTGCCACGGGTTGTAGCTGCCACCTGAAGGTCTCTCTGTGCTGCTCGATGACCCCTCCCACACGAAAGTAGAACTTGGGGGATTTCACTTTGTGAACCAAACTGTTAACATAGGCCAGATCTGCAACAGATGGCCACTTTTCTTTGGGAAATAGAAGTGGTTTTTAATCGGAAACACTGCCATGTTGTCTAAAGGAGAGCTGCGCTGGACTGGCAAAAGGGACGGAATCCCAGGCAGTGGCTTTTCCCCCGTCAGCTGAAGTGTCCAATACCCCCCTCCACTGAGGAAACGGGTTAGAAATGGAAATGGAGAGGCAGTGGGCCGAATGCATTGAGCTCCAAGCAGTGCATCTAAAAGTGGAAGTGGGCGTGCCTCGGTGGCTCAGTCGGCTGAGCGTCCGACTTCCGCTCGGGTCACGATCTCACGGTTCGTGGGTTCGAGCCCCGCGTCGGGCTCTGGGCTGACGGCTCGGAGCCTGGAGCCTGCTTCCGATTCTGTGCCTCCCGCTCTCTCTGCCCCTCCTCTGTTCACTCTCTGTCTCTGTCTCTCAAAAATAACATTAACATTATAAAAAATTTTTTAAGTGAAAGGAGCCGGTACGAATGCACGTTCTCAAGCCAGGCACTCAGTACGGTTCCTGTTTCATTCCGAACCTTTTGTCAGTCTTCCAGATTGAGACCCTTCTGGCAACATCTTTAAATAAGTCCGTAAAAGACAACCCATCTTAGAATATATAAAAGCGAGCATTTTAGGCAAAAATCCAGATCCTACCATTCTGTGTACAATGTAGGGGACCCATTTCCCGAGAGGGCTCGTGCCCACAGATAAAATGATCAGCACAGGTTACAAAGAGTCCCCACCTCTTCGCCGTCCCACCTCCTCCTGGAGTGCTTTAATTAGAAAGATACTAACAGATTAAAGCCTTAGCCGTATTCCATTCCTCCCTTGACCTGAAGAAAACCATGGCCATTGAGAATCTGCTGTGTGTTAGAAAACCGTGTCAAAAGTTTTACCCAAGTCCACCAGCGAGTGTAAACAGAGTGTCCAGGGAGTGGGCTGTATGTAAGGGGGAAAGGTGGCCCCGTCACACGGGGATGATTTAACTCGCACTGTGCTCACCTTCTGGGCTCAAGCCCTGAAAGTGGTGCCACGTTTCCAAGCAGAAGAGTAACACCTCTGGGCAGGAGAAGGCTAAGGTGATGTCCCGGGTCTTCCTTCCAGTGAAGGACCCGCCCTCTCGCCCTTTAGACTCGCCTCGCCTGGGTGTTTCTGTATGGGACCCGGTAACCACCGAGGCAGCACAGAATTCAGGCAAACCAAAAGGCAAATCCTCGCATGGTACTTAGAGTCCGATGAGATAAAATGACGGATCAAAGGATTATTTTTGCTTAATGAAGCATTTTGGGTTTTGAGTCTCACCGGACTCCGTTTTCAACAGGATGTGGTGCTCCGGGGCTGGAGTTTGGAAATTCCATTGCAGGCGCGTCATCGGTCAGCTTTGATTAATCGGAACGAGACTCTCGCCCAAGCCCTGCTGCGCTCAATGATTTCAAATTGAGAAATGGGTAGATAGCGTGAAGGATTTTTTTTTTTTTTTTTTTTTTTTTTGCCTCTGGAATTAGCCTCGTGTATTAATTCAGAAAGTGGTCGGTTGCATCCGATGGTGTGCTTTAGTAATCTGAACCATCTGCCTCCCTGTATTAAGGAGTTCATCTCTTTAATCCAGCTTACTGCCCGAGTACCGCTCTTCCCTGCCATCATGCCCTTGAGCAGATGAGGCTGTGCAGAGTCCCTCGCTCTTGAACGTGTTGCCGTCGTTGAGATTTGGAGAGTTTTGTCTTTGTCTGCTTGTTCATTTGCCTTCGGGTTCTGCCTGAGTTTTGCCTTGATCTTTCTGGAGCAGAAACGATGGCTTTCTTTATGAAAACTATGATCAGCAACCAGGTAAAGAACTTAGGATTTGGTGGCGGGTCTGAAGAAAAAAAAGAAGAAGGAGGGACCTCTGATCCTGCAGCAGCTCAAGGCATGACTAGAGAGGAATATGAGGAGTACCAAAAGCAAATGATTGAGGAGAAGTGAGTACGCGGGGCTTCGTTTCCCTTTAAGAGCCTAAAGCGATGAATTCTGGCCATACCTTCTTCGGGCTTCCCGGTTTCTTTGTCTTTGCTTTTTTAGACGCCTTTTCTCGTGCTGTTTGCCTCTAGCCTTAGGAAGGAATGTTCTGTTCGGGGACCGATTTCCCAGCCTCAGCGGTTACTGTGTCCTACCGGTAGGGATGGCAGTGAACAATAATAAATGAATCTATGTGTCGTTCTTAAAGCGGCTTAACGTTTGCTCTGGTCAAGGTTCGTTTTAATTAGCCTCAGCCGAAGTGCTCAGATGACGAACTGTGAGCCTGTTTCTACGGTCTTGCCCAAACTCACCCTCCTAGCACGTTTAGAAAGCTTTCAAACTGTAAGAAAGCTTTGCTCCTGGAAGAGGCACACGCAGCACAATCTTTTTTTTTAATCTTTTTTTAAACGCTAGAAAGCACAACATGGTGATTATGTCCTAAGACTTGGCTTCCCAAAGACTGTGGGTAACTTTGCAGACTGTTTATTATGAAGATTTTAAAGCTACAGAAAAGTAGAACAGAATGATGAATATCCACATAAACCTCCGAAAAAGGTCAACAGTTAACATTTTGTTATATTTGCTTATAGATGATTAGTTGGATGGATAGAACCATTTTTTAATGGTTTTGGTGTTTTTAATTTTTGAATGCTTTTAATGTTTATTTATCTTTTGAGAGACAGAGAGAGACAGAGCACAAGTGGGAGAGGGACAGAGAGAGAGGGAGACACAGAAGCCGAAGCAGGCTCCAGGCTCTGAGCCGTCAGCACAGAGCCTGACGCGGGGCTCGAACTCACGGACCGTGAGATCATGACCTGAGCCGAAGTTGGGCGCTCAACCGACTGAGCCACCCCGGTGCCCCTAGACAGAACCATTTTTAAAGTAAATTGCCAACATCATGATGCTTTACCCCTAAGTACTTCAGCCATGTACCTCCAGAACATGGCATTCCCCTGGCTATATAAAATAAAAATTAAAAAGTAAAAATAAAACATCAGTAACATTTTAGCTGGGCGTTACGGAATGTGAATCCCACCACCAATTTTTCACTGCTGCAGACTGGTCTTTAAGCATAATCTGTATGTAATTTTTTTAGAATTTAAGGTAGAATCCATTTAAGACCCTTAATAACAACAAAGAATTAAAGCCCGAGCTTGAAGTTAAATGCCCATTTTTTTAAAAAAGTATTTAGTGGGGCGCCTGGGTGGCGCAGTCGGTTAAGCGTCCGACTTCAACCAGGTCAAGATCTCACGGTCCGTGAGTTCGAGCCCCGCGTCGGGCTCTGGGCTGATGGCTCGGAGCCTGGAGCCTCTTTCCAGTTCTGTGTCTCCCTCTCTCTCTGCCCCTCCCCCGTTCATGCTCTGTCTCTCTCTATCCCAAAAATAAATAAACGTTGAAAAAAAAAATTAAAAAAAAAAAAAAAAAGTATTTAGTAAAAGTATTTCTCAGGCGCCTGGCTGGCTCAGTCAGTTGAGCATGCAACTCTTGATCTCGGGGTCGTGAGTTCAAGCCCCCACATCGGGCATGGAGCCTATTTAAAAAAAAAAAAAAAAAAAAAAAGAATGTCTCATTTAATAAGAGTATCTCTTGCTGCCATCCTGGCCCTTTTGCTAACGATCCCTTACGTAATAGTTGCCTAAGTCCTTTTGCTAAGATGATTATAGGTGAAAGGTTAATGACTTAGAGGAACCTGACTAACAAGGACAAAGGCCTACATTTATTTATTATTATTTTTAATGTTTATTTTTGAGAGAGAGAAAGAGAGTGTGACCAGGGGAGGAGCAGAGAGAGAGGGAGACACAGAATCGGAAGCAGGCTCCAGGCTCCGAGCTGTCAGCACGGAACCCGACGTAGGGCTCGAACTCATGGACCGCGAGATCATGACCTGAGCCGAAGTGGGACGCTTAACTGACTGAGCCACCCAGGCGCCCCTAAAGGCCTACATTTAATGGAAACCTTGTCTACTGAATTCTTTTTTGAAAGAAATCGTAGCTTATAAACCTACCTAGAATGTATTATGCTGGGCTCTGCAGTTAATTGAAGTCAAAGAAATAATAATAAACGCCACTGCCACCACTGTGTTGGCACTGAGATGAAGCTCAGACCAAAGAAAAGCATCCCTAGAGTGTAGGCTAGATTCGCCTGCG